CCCNTGCTGCGGGAGGAGGGAGGCTGCACGAGGGCCCTGCTTGCTCGTCTGCCCACCAGCTGAGCGTGTGCTGCGCCGCCCGCTGCTCCTGGCCCCTCCCCCGCCTGCCTGCAGACTACCGATTTGAGCTGGCTGTCAGCCTGGGCATGCTGGATCTGGCCCTGGAGCTGGCAGGGCAGTCAGGTCGGTACCTGTCACCAGCCGCCCTGTAGTGAGGCCCGGCAGCCCTGTGCGGAGCCCAGTTCAATGGCCGGTCTCGTTGTGGCGCCCAGCAGTGCTCGGCGGCAGCGGCGGGCACGTTGTGTTTTGCCTCTGCCTGCGCCACGTCGCTCCACGACGGCGCGCCTGGCCGGCTGTGCGCGCCGGCCTGCCCTCCCGCGTTGTCGACGTTGTTTCTGACCGCCGCCGCCGCACCCTGCTGCTCCCCATGTGCCTGCTGGCGCAGACAGCGAGTCCAAGTGGCGCCAGCTGGGCGAGCTGGCGCTGGGCAACGGGCAGCTGGAGGTGGCCCAGCAGTGCTTTGTGCGGGCAAAGGACCTGGGGGGCCTGCTGCTGCTGCACTCCAGCCACGCCGACGCCAAGGGCATGTCGGAGCTGGCTGGGCTGGCGGGTGCGTGGCGCCGCGCAGGCTGCGGGCAGCCAGCGCCGGCCGATGCCTGCGGTGGGGCTCCCTCCTCCCGCCCATCCATCCGCTGGGGCGCCTGCTCGTCCCCTGCTTGCCCCAACACCTCCCTCGCCACACCCCTGCTCGCCCCAACACCTCGCCCATTTCCTCCTCCGAGCCTGCCCATCCCACCTGCCTGCCCCCTTGCGTGTGTTTGGAACCGCAGAGGCGGCCGGCAAGCAGAACATCGCCTTCATCTGCCACTTTTTGCTGGGGCGCCTGGACGAGTGTGTTGACCTGCTGATGTCGTGCGGGCGCCTGCCCGAGGCGGCCTTCTTCGCACGCACCTACGCGCCCTCCCGCATGACCGAGGTGCGGCGCCCCGCTGGCGCCCCGCTGGCGCCGCGCTGGCTGCCTGATGCTGCCCGGCAGGCGCCCTGCTGCTGCCTGATGCCCGGCTGGTGCCGCGCTGGCTGCCTGTGGCGGCGCCCGCCGCGCCGCATGCTGCGCTGTCTCCTCCCCTGCCCCTGCTCCTAGCCTCGTCGCCTTCCCCCTTCCCGCATCTCCTCCTCCGCCTCCTCTCCTTCACCTGCCCATGCCTCCGCCCCTCCTTCCCTGCCTGCCCCTGCCCCCCGCCCCAACCCCCAGGTCGTCAAGCTGTGGCAGGGCGACCTGGCAAAGATCAACCCCAAGGCAGCAGAGAGCCTGGCCAACCCAGAGGCGAGTGGCACGAGCGGGGCAGCCCGCCGCCTGCTGCGCACCCTGTGCTATGCGTGCGACCCATTGCTTACCGCTCCCCTCTTTCCTCACGCTCCTCCTTTCTCAGCTGGTTCTCAAAGCTCTCCGCAGCTCCCCTGCCGGTCTCCTTCCCTGCTTTTCCCCCCCGGTTCCCACACTCTGTTGCCCCATGCTCGCGCGCCTGCAGGAGTATCCCAACCTGTTCCCTGGCATCGGGGATGCGCTCAAGGCGGAGGCGTGGCTGCGCCAGCAGGCGGCGCACCCGCAGCCCGCGGCGCGGTGCGTGCCCCGGCCTGGCAGCATGCTGCCTGGCAGGCGCCGTGGGGCGGCAGCCCTTGCTTCGGCATCCGCTGGCGGAGCTGAACGGCGGACACATGTCGCCGGCGCCCTGACATCACTGCTCCCTGCTGGCGTGCCGCCCTGCTGCTGCAGGTTCCCGGAGCTGGAGGGGGCGCACATGGAAGACATACTCTCTCGGGTGGCAGAACTCAGCATCAACGGCGGCGGGGCCGTGCCCGTCGCCGCCACCAACCGGCCCGCGGCGGCGGCAGCTCCAGTGGTGGAGGAGGGAGACTTGCTGGGGCTGGGGCAGGAGGAGCCGGCGGCGGCGGCAGAGG